GGGGCTGTTGAAGCTTGTTTGTATTAGCGACTATCACAGTATGTAGACATGACATCATATGTAGTATCTTTAGATTACTTTGGCTTGCTCCACAATGACCTCATACCTGACCTCATTATTGTGTCATCCATTAATCATCTATGATATCACTACTCCACTATGACATCATGATATCTGCTCCAGACTGGTATATAAACCTAGTGCTATACGCTCCATATCCTCAGCTCTGTGTCTTCTACACTCGCTGAGGTATGCATACTCTCTTATGATCTCTTACAACTCATACTCATGACTTGTACCTAGACTCTGTCTCTATAGGTACTGCTAATGTTAGCTCTGTGTCTTCTACACTCACTGAGACTCTGTCTCTATAGGTGATTGCTATTGGTTGTATCTCCACTGCGCGATATTGTCTGCAACAGGTTATGGGCCCCGCCTGAACCACTAGCGGCAGATCAAGAAACATCAAACTACTCCCTTTACTAAGGCGAGTATCTTTCACTCGTTCAGCCCTTCTAGAGCGCCGTCTTTGTGTGCTCATCCCACTTGCTGGATGTCGGTCCTCGCATTTGTGCTCTCACCCTCAAGGGGTTACGCGAGTGGCGTCAGGGAGTCATTCAGTTGGCAGATGCGTCGTTAGCTATTCCGTCCATGATTGCTCGCATGCGTTTTATGTTACATCTTTTTATTGTACAGCGAACATACCCACCAGGCACTGGTCCTTTGGTCAATCCCACTCCTGAACCTTGTGCAAAGCGCCTAGGTGGTGTGGTAGCTCTCAACAGCTGCTGGAGGTCAATCCCTCCGCCAGGCAAAACAATCCTTCGGGGTTGACTCGCATTCCTCACAAGGGACCCTGCGGGCTGGTGACACTACAAGGATTCATGCAATGACGCTCTGCATGTATGCATGTCTTTAAAAGGGAGAAGATGGGCAGCCAAACCCGGTGCTTGGGACGGCCTTGGGCACGTGTCCCTTGGCCAGTGACGGACTGCAAGGGCAGTAATCACCGTCGGGTACTGCCGCCGCTGACGTATATAGTTACGTTACTTTGATACAAATATGGGCACTTACTATACCGCTTTATTTTGTTATCATTCCTTGCGCGTATATGGGCATCATGGATGGGATGGGGACACTTGATTGTTCTCGTTTCAGAGATTTGGCACTCGGGATTTTGTTTCTTGGTCTGCAGAGAATCTGGGGCTGCCTTTGTTGCTCTAGTCTCCACTTCTATCACCCTGTCATCACCAGATGACCCTCCCGTTGGGGTTATCCTACTTCCTGTTGTCCATTGGGCTCAGGGACCTTCTTACACTACCCTTCAAGACACCGATTGGGAAGACCTATACGAACTTGGTGAACACGACAACAAAGATCTATTTCACCATCAGGACAATTGGACTCCTGAACTTTGGTCCCTATTCGGTGATCCTCCCTATATTGAATTCCCCTCTCTTCACTACCAAACCGCTGACGTTATCAAGTATCTCCCCACCATGTCAGGAATCGAGAAGCTCAACAACTCCATTCTGAGTGTCTTCGATGGCACCAATTGGAATACATGGTCGGACAATTACATGAGCATCTGCATGCATCAGGGCACTTGGGGAGTGGTTAAACCCACTCATATTATGGTTAACAGCACATCTACCTCGCACCCTGGTTCTATGGAGCGTCCTGGAACAGCTGGCGACAGCCAGTATCAATGGGACGTTGCTAATGAAAAGGCACTGGGTCTTGCGTGGGTTTACATCACCCAGAATTTGCGCAAAGGAATCTATATGGACGGTCAGAGGGAGCGCACTGCACGCAAAGTTTGGGCGAAAATGGCAACAGATTATGGCCAACCAAATGCCATCAATGCTTTCGTTGAGTATCGCCTCCTGAACACCACCACCTTCCATGGTGGTGACACCATTGAGAAACAAATCATGGAAATGGAGACTCATTGTCGCCAGTGTTCAGAAGGAGGAATCAAGATCCCCGACTACCTCTTCGCTACTCTCATGCTCGCCGCTCTGCCCGCTTCCAGCAGAGGTTTCGTCACCTCTTACCTGGCCAATCGTCCTATCGCTTCTTTGAACCCAGTCAATGTCAAGAACAGCGTCATTGGGAATATCAAGATCGAGAACCTTGACACGACGTCGAACTCGAAAATTTCCACCGTTCTGTCCCTTGCCACCCGCTGCACTCATTGCAACAAGTCCGGTCACGGTTGCGGCATCCTGCTACAAGAAGTATCCCAACCTCAATCCTAATGGTCAATCATCTGACAAAGGCAAGGGGAAGCAGGATGAGGGGAAGAAGAAAAAGAAGAAGGAAAAGAAGAGTAGTGATGGTACTAGCGCTGTAAAAGAAGTTGTAGCCGCTCCCGCGGTTGCAGCTGCCTCCAATGGAATGCACATTTCGTCCTATCTCATGAGTGACTCCCTCAAACACATCGATGATGGAATTTTTGTTGAAGAAATGGGAGATGACTCCAAAGTTCGTTTTCTATGGGACTTGGGTTGTACACATCATATGACAAACACCCAATCCGATCTTCACAACATCAGACCTATTGACACCTATGTAGTCGTTGGGTTGGGAGCTCACTTCAAGAATGAAGCTGTTGGAGATATTGTGTTGCGGGGTCATACTAGTAGTGGCATGGACTACACCTTCATGCTGAAGGATGTCATCTACAACCCGCACATAAGAGGGCGCTATCTTTCTGGGTATGCGCTCGATCAGGCTGGTTACTACACCATGGTTGGTGACAACAAGGCAATCCTAGTCACCAAGGATTGGCTCAACAAAGGAAAAGCGCATGGGGATGTCTTGATGACCTTTAAAGCTAGCAATCGCTGCTACTGGTACTACCCCGAGGAGCTCATGGCACCATCTGTGTCTGCATCTCACGAGTCTACCGCACTCGCTTCCCTGGAAACTACCGATCGTGAATTGTGGCATAAGCGTTTTGGTCATGCGGCTCAGAGGACCCTCACTCACTTGCCGACACAAGTTGAAGGTGTTCCCCCCTTGCGACACAATAAAGACCAGCGTGGCATGTGCAATGGATGTATGCTTGGAAAACAGCACAAGCATCCGTACCCTGCATCAGAGAAACATGCTAGCAAACCCCTTGAGCTTATCCACACTGATTTGATGGGCCCCTGGCCTACTCAGTCGTTGGAAGGTTCACGCTACACAATTTTGTTCTACGACGATTTCTTGAGCTTTGGCATGATGGTGTTCATTAAATCAAAGGACCAAGCCTCTACCGCGATTAAAAACTTTGTTGCCCTTACAGAGCATCAGCTCGGCACAAAAGTACTGGCCTTCTGGTCAGATTGTGGAGGCAAATATATGTCCGATGAACTCACAGCCTGGCTCAATGCATGTGGTATTATGCACCCTAAGTCCGCGCCACACAAACCACAGCAAAATGGGAGATCTGAACGTTGGAATTGCACAGCCTACAAGACAGTAGTACAGGGAGCATTCAGTTACATAGTACGTAGTGTCAGGGCAATCAACACAATACAGTGATACAGTATGGGGAGCATTCAGTTACATCATGGCACATAGGAAGTTAATAATGTACTCAGTGAACTGATCAAGTGAACGACATGGATTCAAGCAGACGTGTTGTGACTGTGATTTTTACTAAACGGGTTCTGAGAAGCCAGCATTGGGAGACAACTCGGCAATAGCAGTGCAAGGAGGCGCTAGCTCCGCTGCGCCAGTAACGTTCTCAATCCCATCACCAAATGGCAACAACCCAATGGAGTGGTCGGGCTCTATAGCAGACGTCAGAATGCAGCGCGCTGCGCTTAGTCGGCATGCTCACTTGGAAGCTTCCCCACGAGGCACTGGAACTTCTGTAGCACCTGGTGTAGTTGGTGCAACTCGACGTTGTCAACAGACTTCACCAGATCCAGGAAGGCCTTGCGAGCCTTGTCAAGTTTACGATCCTGAGCGATGCGCCAAGTGATGTCCTCTGTAGGCGTGGTCCTCATGTACAGCTGAGTGTACGCCTGCGGAGCCGCTGTATCAAGGTCAATTTGCCATAGGAGGCTATACTCACTGATGGCACAGCGCAATTCTGAGCGCGATGTTGGCAAATAGAAAGGATTGGGAAAGTCATCTTCCACCACAACCATAGGCCGCGCTATAAGTTGTGCACTGGTTAGTTATCTGGTTCTTCTTCAGCTGAAAGCAAGTACTGCTGTGCTGCAAACAATCTGCGTTGGTCAAATCAATACCTCCATTGGCTGCGCACTGACACTGGAATGTATTCAACTCTAGAATGGGAAAACGAGCGAAAACCCACGCACACAGACTGCATCATTGTTGTATTGTCCATTGCACTCCATTGCATCGCACCCTTTGCAACAGAGGGACGGTGACACAAATTTGTCCCCACGTTTAGTGTAATAAGCACAGTACCATTTCGGCATGAGCAGCTTGCCCTGTTTGCATTCTGCAAAGGTTTGGTCCGGTGCCAAGCGCTCATATTTGTCAAGTGTGATGAGTGAGAACTGTTGCACTTTGCAGCCCAGGATCTCCTTGCGGTCCTGACTACCGGTCAGAAGGTGAACGTGGACACGTACACCTTCTGTAGGCTTGGCGATGGGAGGAGGTTGGTGTCGGTCGGTGCGCATGGGACTGGCATGGGCAGACAACGAGACAGCGGTTGTCCGGAACGGCGGCATAGTAGACGCAGTGTTTTTGCCACGTATGAGGAAGAGGATGGGGATAAAAGCGCGATACAGTTTTGGCCCCTATAATAAGAGTGAGGACTGAAGTACTATCGGCGATAATCAAAACATGTGACAATGCACCTGCAGATCTATTTCTGAGCGCCTAGTTGGATTACCCAGCAGAGGTGTGATCAAGCATGACCACATGTTTAGTACCAGACAACCAGCTGTGTGTATTGGGGGATGCCATGTGCTCAGGTACAAAATGAAATTGACCGAGGCCAAAGTGGATGTGAAGGTGTTGATGCTACGCTATGATAGTAGTTCCTCATCCCAGAGGATGCCGCCACGCTCAAAGGCCTCCAACTCATTGTAAGGCAGAGACTCGCCGTTGGACTCAGTCTCACTGCCGGAGTCCTCGTCCCCATTGGTATCCTTCCACTCGTCATTCCCCCAGCTTGGGGCACCATCTCTCATACGGGCAGATACATCTTCGATGCGAATCTGTAGTACATCCCTGTCTGAAGGACCCCGAGGGGGGAGGCCCTCGGTTGGGTATGGGATTTGTCGCAGCGGCTTCTCCCATGCTGCGGTCAGTTTCGTCAATTCTGACTGGCAAAGCTTGAGCTGGAAGACGACTGCCTCTTCATCTACACCAGACGTCAGCTATGATTGTTCATCCGTTGGCCGAACGCACGTACTAGCCTTGCCTGCCAGTTGCAGGGCCCGCCCAACAACGTCCCACTCCTCTGCCATCCACCAGCACAGTGCCCGACACTCGTGATATAGACATGGCTCTTCCTTGTCACATTGGTCCCGTTTGAGTAGAGCCTGAATGCCCTTGCGGACAGAATCGCTGCTCATCCACAACAGCGGGTCAACCTCCTTGTTGATGTCCGTCAAACCAATGTCCAGCCAGACATCAGCATCGACATCCAGCCCCCAGATGTCCTTCGTCCAGGTGCCACCGCGTTCCGTGGGGCACGGTGGAGATTGATGAGCTCCTGCAGTTGTTCGCACAAGTTGTTGTAGAGTTTGCACAGATCTTTTATACTTCGGTTGCGGTGTTTGACTGCGTCCTTGATGTGAGTTGTCAGTTTCGCGTCTTGAGAAGTTTCAGGTTAGTCAGCACTTGCTATTGGCAGAAAGAAAAGAAACACCATGCCTGCTTTGTTCCGGTGGAAGTGACGCTCGACTCAATCGAGCTCAAACTTTCTCTGCCTCAAACGGCTGCGTAACTTTGTCTTGGCGGCGGCAGCATTCATCTGCACCTGGATGTACTTGCTCTGCACCATCTTAGACAGATTGGCCTTGTTTTCCACTCCCATCATCGCCTTCTGCTTGCGCACTGATTCCGCCAACTTGCTCAGCTTCTCATGTGCTTTAGCATACTCTTGCTCTGCAAAGTGGATGTAAATAGGATCTGCGTCTTCTTTGAAGATGGTGTCATTCCACTGAGACATCTGCACCTTCAGTTTGTCCATTAGAAGCGTCTTCCGCAGCACGTCTTGGATGGCAAGTTTGCCTGCATTCTTTAATTGACCTGTAATGTTGGAAACAAATTAGCTAGTGCTGAATGGAGGGAACTTGTGGCTGACGTGGTTGTGGCTTGGACATTGCCGCAACCTGCTTGGCGTGCTCTGCCCGAAGGACCAGTTCTTCATGTGGACATTGACTCAGGGCAGTATCAGCGTGTTGTTGATGTGAGCGACAATCTTTGTAGCGCCGTGCTAACCAGGTTCCTAATCGTGAGAGGTTTCCTTTGTGAAGATGAATCACTTGTGCATTGAGCATATAGCGGTGCTTGTGATACTAGAGGTAGGGGTGTTAGCATGGGTCTGATAATGACATTATCTAGAGCGCATACCCTGCAAACACAAAGAAACAATACCAAATGGCTAAGAGAGTGCCAGAAGCGTTCCAGCGACTCTCCATCAGAAAACCTGAAATGAGTGCGCCGCTCAGATGATAAACTGCTTGGCAAGCAGCGCCATGCCCGTACGAGTGCAGGACAGACACTGCCCACTCTAATCTCTCCATGTACGCGGGGGGAAGGAAGTCAAACTTTACTGCTGACCGTTGCAACTGGCAGGCAATGTCGTGCAGGAAACTGACGACAAAGTCGGGTCGGCAAGTGCTGGAGCAAAGCTTCAATGAGGGCAGACATGTAGAACTGGCGGTCACCAGGCGTCTTGATGTTCGCCAGGAAGAGAAGGTTGTCGTGACGACACGACAAGCCCATGAGCCCCTTATTGTCAAAGAACTGAGAACTGCTCTTTGCTCTGGTCTCGTCTGCTGCAGCGAAAGACCGCTCGCACTCATTGAGCACAGATCGCGGCAGAGGAATGGACGGTGCTTTGATCTCGTCATCATCATTGGCCTCTTGTGTTGGTGCAGCCGCTGAGCCCGGAGCAGGACGCGTGGGACGGATCCCTTTGACCCACTGAGCCATCTTTTCCATCGCTTCATCGGGTAGAAAAGAAGACTTTGGATGCGCGCGTACCGGGTCTTGCTGCCCCCGATCCTTGTTCCTTTTTTGCGTAAAGCATGCATCTCCGCAAACAATGCAATGCAGCACCATTTGTGCATCTTCCCATTTGCCACCAAAGCATGCGGGACATCAGGCACACAGATATTCCCTGGGTCAGACACGGTCTTGAGGCGTCAGGAACGGGTAGATCGGCCCGGCGGTGCCGGATGACTCAGCAATGGGGGAGTATGGACCTGGAGAAGACGACTGCTCGGGGCTGGGGCCAGGTGATGAAGACGGGGGCATGAACACCGGGGTTGGAGAGGAAGACAGTGCTTGGGTGCGCTTAGTCGGAGAGGATGGTGGGGACGACTCAAGTTCTCTGCCCCTTCTTTTGCGCGGAGATTCTTCAGCACCGCGGTGGGGTGAGGGAGTAGGTGTTGATGGCCGTTCGCAATGTTCCTCTTCTTTGCACATCTCCTCCCGCACGCTTTGAAGTATGTCGTCCATCGCCTGGTCTGTCCAGTGACGCAAGATTGTGTAGTACTCAAGAGTGTTACCAAATTGACGACGCAGGGATTCCTGACCGCAAGCACGTCAGCACCCACAGCTCACAGGTAGATGCCATACATACTTGGTTAGGCAGTTTGTACCCCAGACAATCGAGGCACTGCTCAATCGTCTTCGTCAGCGCACGGTTGTTGGGTGCTTGATTGAGGAAGAGATCTTGCACGAAGTCCAAGACTCTCATGTTGACAGCCAGATGGGGTTCGATTGGTGAGCTGGGGAATAGGCCATGAGCGACAAGTTGAGGAGCTGCTGGACAGCACGCGCAGTAGGTCAACGACGTTCGTTGCACATCTGCAACGCTTCAGTACGTGTCATGACAGCACGGGACAGGCACGAAGACCTACCGTGCCAGCTGAGCAAGTACACTTGCACGTCTTGCTGTCTCCCGCAGATACATTCCCTTGTGTATGGCATGACCTGTTCCAAGTGTTGCAGCCGCTCGGTGCGGCGCACCAGGTCTGCATACACTGGTAATATGACCGGAAAGACTTCCTCCATCCAACGCCTGGTCTGCTTTCCTCACAGATGAGAATGCGTCGTCTGCAGGCCTAACGGTGCAACATCGCTGCCAATATACGCCATGTACATCTCGGGAGCATCCTCAGGTGCCTCTCCATCTGCGTCTAGGGGCGGGGGCCAATCATCAAGCTCTTCTGCCCGTCGAGTGTTAAGGGCAAACCCAGCATGACCAGGGGGAGGGCGCACATAGTCTTGATAGACTGTCTTTCCATCGGCAAGATACACGGGCGGTGGACGCCAAGCGCCGCGGCGTCGTGAGGGTTGGGCGGTGCTCAGGGCAAAAGCTGTGTGCTTGGTGGGACTGGCGGACTTGCAACGCGCGGTTGGCATGTTGAGTACGTTTGGGATGCTAGGGCGGATTATGGTCAGTGATACATTTCCGTGTTTTTGGACTGGTCTGAAGCTTACAGTGTCGTGGCTTTCTTCACTGCAGCCTCAGTGCAAGTCCCTGTTCCCTTAGCTACATATGTGAGTCTTTTGTATTCCACTGTCAAGATGGCGTACTTAGGATTTCTATTCTAAGTCTACATGAACTATGGCAAGCGATATAGAGGCATAGTATAGGCAAAAAGATAAGAAATAATGTATGTTCATGGTCGGGAGCAAGGGCAGATGTTGCACAGCCACCGGATGATCCCAAGATGAGCATGACCAATGGTCATACGCACAGCATGATTGACGGTGCTGTGCGTATGACCATTGGTCATGCTCATCTTGGGATCATCCGGTGGCTGTGCAACATCTGCCCTTGCTCTTGACCGCACAATGCCCGGTGAGTCTCTGACGTTGCGTATGGACATGTCGCACAGTAGTTAGACTGCGGCTGAAGGCTACGGTCCCAATGACAATAAATCACACCCTGTATAAGTTCACAAAAGAAATCCTTGTAAACGGAAGCATCAGTCCACGGCCAGAGGCACGCAAGACTGACATCGCTTAGCCCTGCTGCCTCCTGAGCCCCGCCTCGCTAAGCCCCGAACTGCAAACTGAAGTCATTGTCATTGAATAGCTGGTACTGCAGGAAGTTCAGATCTAGCCCATCACGCGTCCTCTGGCACTGCTGACGCCGAGGGCCCCTGCTCCCCAGCCGACATGGTGCGTAACCGTTGAGATCTCTCAGTGGTGGTCGTTGGTACTAACATTCAGCACCGGTCAGTCGTCTCTAACTACTCCGCCCTGCCTTACAACTCCGATGTCACCTCCGGGCCTTTTCAGTCCTGAGCCGCTGTTTTTGTCCGGGACTGTGGGTGACGCTCCTTCCGCTTCTCTGACACGATATTGACTGACCGAATACAGCCATCTCCTCCTTCATGCTCCCCCACTCTGATTCAGATGTCTCCAGTCAACTGCACTTAGGTGCCGACATGCTTGAAGAGCAGACATTGCCACCCTCAGCTCTCCCGAACGAATCACGTTTGATTGCAGCAGCTCCTGAGGTTGAGCAGTACACCGAGACGTTGTCAGGCAGTGCGACACAAGACTCGACTGTGATCTGCGGCCAGGACAAACCACAGGTGCGTCTGCTCTGATGAACGGTCCTACTTGTCAGATCAATACCTCATAGTCTAGTGAACTGGAATCGCTGCTTCTGAACGTTCCTCGAGCGTTGGTATTTGGCCCAGCCGATCCTATGGTGCTCGGATGGGGTGCAGTGGAATCAGTAAGGTCATCTGCACCTAGTTGTGGACGTATCCGAAAGCTTTGCAGACTTCGTCAAGTATCTGTGTGGAAGGAAACCATGGCAAGAAGCAGCGTATTGAGGAGCCTCCTCAAGCAAACAAGGGCAGGGTGCTGCAATACCTCAGCCTGGAAGCCCAGGAGGTGGAAGATGAAGAGGATCTCGACGACAATGATGATATGGGCGATTGGATTGTCTCGGAGGAGGAAGCAGACACTCAGGAGTCAGATATCGAAGACAACCGACAGCGCGTCTTGCCTCAGCCTCCAGTCGTCTCCCAAAAGGAGGCTGCATCGATCCACCACTCCCTCGAGATGATAGCTGCTCATTACTTGCAGACCTTGCGGGCCGAGATTGCATCAAGATCCTCCGCTGCTGTTATGCCTACGGACAAATCATCAGTTCCGGAGCAAGTCGCGGAATCTCAGAACCTGATCACAGGCAGCTCCCTCCGTTCTGGACCGAGCGACGAGACAATGGCAGCTGCGGATTACATGTACCGCATGCCGGACGATTCGGTTGATCCCCCCCTGTATCCGTTGGTGGTCCCTCAAGGTCTCGAGCCGGACGCCACTCGATTCCTGTCCCATTATGACTTCCTTGACTCGGTCTTCTTCCCTAGGCATTTTGGGGGCTTCGTTTACGTGGAGACTTGTCATCGCGCCTGGCTGTCTAAAATTCTGGAGCAATGGCAATACTTTAAGCCTGGCATGGTCAAGGCTCCAGTGCGCGGCTCCGACAAGAAACATCTTCTTGCATCACCCCCCAGTGCACTTGTTGGCACGTTTGTGCGGTTCGATACCGGTTTGTATGCAGGCAATGTCGGGTACTTGCACAAAGACGATGATGGCGCCATGGAGCAATATGCCTTGGTGGTACCTCGAATCCGAGCACCAGGGCAGCAGACAAGACCTGCGCCTGCCTTGTTTTCGGTTCATCGCGTTCGAGATCGAGACATGTACCCTGGTGATGAGTGTGGCCATGACGGCCATTGGATTGTCTGGAAGCATCGATATTTTACAGAGGAGGGACTGGAATACATCAGATGCGGGCAATATGCCTTGGACACCCCATAATTGTACCTCGAGAGGTACCTTTTTGTGGCCCAAAAAAGGCACCTCAGTGGTAGTGGGCAGCCGTGGGCTGGGCGGCAGCCGGGCGCCCCCCAATGCTCTGGGGGGCCCCAGCTACATTTTTGTGGGCGTCCTTGGGCGCGCATGTGGGCGGGCCCATGGCTCCTGGGGTCCTTGTAGCGTGCGCAGCGCCAGAAAAATTTCCGTTTTTTGACCTATTTGGGAAGTTAAAGTCAAGTATATATTTGCAATCTACTCCATAATACAGGCGTACAATGTACATAGGAGCTAAATTTATCCTTTGCAGTCTAATCAATAATATGGGTGAGTGTATGCAATAATATTGATTTGACGCACGCAAAAATCCTTATTGCTTTTGTCATGGATATATAAAATCACCATTTCGTAGGCTTATGACTTAAAATCACTATCTTGTAGGCTTATGACTTGGATCACGTGCAACATTTTTCTCATACCTCTTTTGAACCTAGATTGATTTATTCTCAGTGACCGCGGCGATTGCCGGCGCGGGACCACTCCATGTGACTTTATGACGCCTAGGAAACTATGTGTGGGGCCGCCCGCCAATTGCCAAGAGAAAAATGGGCCCGCCCATAGACACTTAAACATCTGCCAAAAAATGACACAGATCCAGATATTCACCATCAAGGACTCACCACGTACAGGATTTGAGACAATTCTTTTTGAAAAAGGTTTACACAATTAACCTCTGCTCTGCCATGCAGGAAACAAAAACATTGCACAAGGTAAAGCTATAACAGAGTCATTAGGTCAAGAACTACAGTGTAGTAAATGTAAAACAAAGATAATTGTCCAGACAACGTGTGAGAGGAATATCGATCACAGTACTGTGCCGTAGCATTTGGTGTCAAGCAACTCCTTGTATAGTGTCTCGTGTAAGCCTCTGTGCCGGTCGGCAACAACTGGAAGGAGGCGGAGGTCTACGCTTTTCCACTGACCGTCCTGATCTATTTGCAATCCCCGACTGACGTAGTCGTCTACGATCATTGCGTCCCCTACACTCCATCTGCGGAATCGTGTAACAAAGAACGTTTTGGATGACTGGTGTCCAAAGACGTAACGACAAATGTGCTCGCCCTCTCTGGGATCCTTCTCCAGCTGCTGCATCAGCAACTCCCTGTCAATCCGCTGACGTTTGCGTGGGGGCTCACTGCCATCCACGTCACTGTTGTTGAGATTATCAGCTAAGCTCGACGCCCGCAAATGTGAGAACTGGTCTGGAGTGGGTGAGCAAGCTGCCATTGATTGCTTGCCCTCTCTTGGATGCATTGAGTGAGAGAAGGAGATCAATGCATCATCTTGTGAGGGAGAGAGCCGAAGAGCAGGGGGTGGCTGTGAGCTCACTCTCTCCTTCCACCCACCTGCCGGCGATCTCATCCTCAACAAATCCCCATTTCTGCGCTCTTATTACACACTCTTTAATGCTTCTATATGACTGACTATCACCCAGAACTCGACACTATCTGCATTCGTCTCTGTGAACTATGGAATCTGTCTCAAGCTCGAAATTTGGATGCTATTTGAGAGTGTCTCTGGGCCTATACACCCAATTCCATTCACGAAGCTGAGTAGTTCCCTCTCTTCTTACAGTTGGAGCTCGACAGATACACTGCTCGTTGACTCGATCCTGGCATTAGAACGACGCCATCTACATCCCCCAGCCTTCAGAACCCTCCCCTTTCCGCCCACTTCGAGCTGCCGACCCCCCTGATCTTCCAGACAGTAATCCCAGTCCATTCCTTCGAATTCTGGCCGCCCATTTGCTACGAAATTCCCTGCCCCATTCCCTGCAAGCTGCGAATGCCTCTTCGCTTCAGTTGCACGCTTATTCGGGTTTCCCTCCCTCTCTCATTGGGCGCTCAAATCCTGCGATTTAATCGCACCCAGAGCGATATTATCGCATATTTTTGATCCTTGGGGCACTTTCCGTTGTCTGACTACGCTGCAGGGTTATTTCGCGGTCAGCCCTCATTCTGGACAAGCAACAGTCTCCCCCCTGCAGCCTGCAGCCTGGAGCCAGGTTTTTCGCTTGGATTCCAGCGCTTATTCGCTTTTCCCTCCCAGTCCTATTGGATGCTCATTTCCTGCGATTAAATCGCACCCAGTGCAAGATTATGGCATATTTTCGGTCTTTTGGGTTCCTGGCGTCTTCTGACAACGCTCCAGGGGTATTCCACGGCCACTCGTCATTCTGGATTGTTTTTCCTGGACCAGGCGCTGCTCGATTCCACATAGCGTCAATATTTACTTGGCATTTGTGCATATTGTGCATTTTTCGACTGTGCATAGCCTGCACTGCGCATATCGTGCGCTGCGCATATTCTGCGCCCTCCCCGTCGTGCATATTGTGCATTTTTCGACCGTGCATAGCCTGCACCTGTGCATATCATGCGCTGCGCATATTCTGCGCCCCACCTGTCGTGCATATCGTGCATTGTTCGACTGTGCATAGCCTGCACTTGCGCATATCGTGCGCTGCGCATATTCTGCGCCCTCCCCGTTGTGCATATCGTGCATTTTTCGACTGTGCCTAGCCT